CACCTGACTGGAAGGTGATCTCGCTGAACATCATCCAGGTGTCAGCAAAGTGGTACTGGCACTTGAGGGCGCTGGCCATGCGGTGCTGCAGGGGCACCGTGACGAACCGCGCGCTGGGGTTGGCGTCGTCCAGCACCAGGGGGAAGGACAGGGCGCTGGGCTCCCACTCGCTGGCCTCCGAGCGGAAGTAGCACTGCACCTCCTTGAAGATCTTCACGCCCTTCTCGAACATGTTGTTGCAGTGCACCTGGCAGAGCGGAGGGCCGGGCGTGAGTCCCTGCCCCATGCCCGCCACGCAGAGAGGGGCGGAATAATCCACGAGGGACTCACGCAGGTTAGCCCCCACCCGCTGGGTAGCCGACCGCTCTGACTGGGGGGGGTCGCTGAGCCCCCACCCAGAGAGACTGAAGGCTGCCCTCAAAGGTGGAAGGTCGAGGACCTGACTCTTGCACAGCGAGAGGCACTCGATGCCCCTGCCTGGCGCTCTCTTCTGCAAGTTTCTGTGACAGTGAAGACTATGCTAGTTGCCAGGGTCCTATTCCTGCCCATCAAACCTCCTCCTCCTTGCACCTGAGGTGGCAGATATGTTTATACCTATAAAAAGCTAGTGCGGGCCACAAGGGTGTCATAATTTGGTTGTTCACAAATGCTTATCCAGCTGGCATATACTAATTGCCAGAGACAGAGTCAGACGGTGGACTCCCCACCATGGAGGAGCTGGAGGTCTTCTAAGAGAATGGACATGTGCAGAAAAGAAATGTGGGGACAGAAAATTATGGAATCTTCTGGCATGGCTCCTTGGTGCTGTGGGTGGATGAAGCACCTGGGGGTGGGAAGTGGTCCAAACTACAAAGTCCTGTCTTTCTCATGGAGATCCACCCTCACTGGTTGGGATAGTCAGTTGCCCCCGTGGGGATGGACAGGGCCATGTACTCACTTCCACAGCCCTTGACAATTGTGCCTCGGTGGGCCCCTCTCTCCTTAAAAATATATTAAAATTATATTTTACAACTGTGTTGTTAAAAGGAGAGAATAACTTTTGGCCCTAAAGTTAATTTTTTTCTTCCAATCTTTAAAGGAGGTAAACCATTTTCATGGGCCTAAAAGCATGGTTGGCCCTGGAGACCGTTCACTGTGCCTAGCGGACATGCCGGCTCCGGGGCTGGGACCACAGAACACTGGGGGACGGTGGCCTCGTCCGACCACCTTGTTAACAATGAGGAAATGGCTGGACAGGTGAGGTGACTGGGGACTGCACATGGACAGTCAGGAGTGTTCTGCAGGCCCGCCCCAGGCCTGCCCAGCACCCTCCACCCCCTCGCCGCTGGCCCCACTGACCTTCATGGTGGTGAAATTCCTGATGCGGTCAAATTCAAACACGATCTCGATGTAGCCGTTGGCAGCACTCTCGTTCCTCCAGCCCACGTAGTCGTAGCCGGGCCACACGTGGTATTCGTGGGTCTGGGTGAAGTCGTCTAGGCCAGACACCCCGTCTGTCAGCTGGCCCAGCCCTTCAGTCATGCTGCTCAGCCAGGGCAGAAGGAAAAGGGACAGAGGCGCTGGAGTTACGGGCACACTCACAGAGGAGCCCTCACCCGAGTCTGCACTGGGTTTTGAAAAAGCTGGTTATCATGGAGGTTGAAGGATTATGAAAAGTCCAGAATATTCCACAGTATTGACTCATTTGTCCTTCATAAGTGCAGAATTAAGTTTCACATAGAAGAATTTTACGAAGTATTTGATTTTGATTACCCCTTCCTTTAGTAGCAAAATTTTGAAACTTTCTATCATTTTCAATAAAAAGCTTGCTATACTCTATTGTATCCTTACCTATTCTTATATACTGAATGTAACAAGTCCTTTTAAAATGACTCAATATTATCAAATACATTTGATTAATGAATCCATGAATGAGTGAGTGCACATGGAGTGGACAGCGGCCCTGCCCATCACCATGTTCTGGGTCCCTGAGCTGTTGGAAACTGTCCTTGCTCAGTGAGTCAGTTCCAACAACCCGATCCAACAGCAAACTACAGGGCAAGAGACAAGTAACCCTTTTACCCAGTCCTGTGAAAGAGGTGAAGAGATTAAGAAGTGCAAATTGGCAGTCACGGGATGTAAAGTCCAGCCCAGGGAACAGGGTCAATGATGCTGTAGTAACCACGAATGGACTTCTTGAGGGGATCACTTCATAAATTATATAATATCTAATTACTAGGCTGTACACCTGAAACCAATACAAAATAATATTGGAAGTAAATTTAATTACTGTAATTGAAGAATTTTTTAAAGAACTGCCAAATTTAAATACTCATTTATATTTAATTTTAATCAAATTCCTAGACAATGAGATCCAGGGAGTAAGATGCATGGGTTACACCAGGGTCTTGGGCACTGGGCTCAGGTTTGTTCTCTGGCCCGGAAGCCTTTCAACTTCCGAGCGTAAGGCTCTCCAAAGGGCTGAGCTGGCCAGAAGCCACTGCTGTAGGGGAGCGGGGGGCGGATTTATGTTAGTGTCACCACTGGAGGAACACAGGCCTCCTCCCTTCTTGTAAGGAGGGATAGAGCTGGAACCCACCACATGTCACTTCTCTGTCCTCCTGGCTCTGGTAGGAAAGTCTGGAGTTTCCCAAGTGACGACATGGGGTGCTCACCTCCAGCAGGGACACCTGTGACCCTCAAGTCACAGCAGGACCAAGGCTGTGGAGACGCATGGGTTACAGAACACGGCTGCCTGTGATCACGCCGGCCTTAAAGACATGCTTTTAAATATAGTGGTTCATTGAAAAACGTTTGCAGGGGGTAGGAGGGGCGGAGGTGGAAGAGGGCATAAATGGTGATGGAAAAATAACATAAATAAAAATTTAAAAAGGAAGGAAAACATCTGGCAGTTTACAGAATCTGACTGGCCTTTTCCAGCATTCCTTTCTTCTCTACGGATCAGGGGGCCAGGAGGACATATGTTTCCTCACAGTACATTGAGTGCCCATTGTCTCCAGAGAAATAAAGCCCCATGAAAGTTGTATGAAAAGCAACATGAATTGAAGGGAATGCTCACTCAGCTTCTCCTTAATCGAGACTAAATCATGTGGGGAAGAAATACGGGAAAACTCTCCCTCCCTCTACTTGAGAATGGCCAGAATTACTACAACCACGGGTTACTTTTGGAAAGTTTTTCATTAAAAACAGTAACTTTTACTGCTCTGTTTCCCGAGACTCTGCATTGGGGAGCTGTGTCTCCTCGCTCGGCCACACCTGAGGTCGCCCATCACCTCAATTACTGGTGGCCGCTGAGTGTTTCTAAGTCTCTGATCATTCCTCACCTTCCCTCTAGTTTCCAGTCACCTGCCTTATCTCTCCATTCAAACGTCCTGTAGGTCCCTTAAACTCACATCCAGACTAAGTCCGTCACCGTCCCTTTCCAACCTGACTCTTCCACCTGGGCCTCCCCCACTGTCGACTGCATGTCTCTTTCATAGTCCCCGAAAGTACCTGGTGCATAGTAAGTGCTCGAGATGCATTTGCTGAACAAAAAACAGCATCTCCGCTGTATCTGTGGCCTGCACTCTCATGTGTCGTCAGCCTTGGCCTCTCATGGCCAATATCCCTAGTGAATGTCCCTCCTCCTTCCCACCCCCACAGTCACCATGTGGCCGGGCACTTAATTCTCCGCGCCGCCCCCCCCCGGCCCCTGGCATCCAAGTTCCTCCGCCTCGCCACGCTTCCCACCCGCTACTTCAGTGAACTGAATGCTGCTCTTCCTCTTCAACTTGAGAGGTGTGAATCTCTGCCCTCACGCTGTGCCCTCTGCCTAAAATGCCATGTCAGCATCCCCTGCCTGTGATATCCGCCCATCCCACCGGGTCTTCACTGGTCCCCTGTGCAAGTGTAGCTCTTTCCCTTCATGGGGAGCTTTTCTATCCATTTTTGTCACAGAAGCGTCAGAGCAAAGAGAAGGAACTTTCGTTGTGTGGAGCAGGGTCTTCACCTGAGCTGTGCTCCCCGGAAGCACTCAGGACACCCCTCATTCCCACCCGCACACAGTCACTGATCCCTATTTTAGCCCCTTTCCTAACGTGAGCTTTGGGATCCATGACTGCATTATACTCGAATGTCTGCCACGTCTAGCAAGTTCCTTGCACATCACAGTCATGGTTGATTAGTAAAGATTTATTAAACTGGACCGGACTCAATCCCCTCTGATTTCCTCTGGGCCTGGGGAGTGTGCGGGTCCGGGTGTGGCCACGGGGATGATGCCATGGCACCAGAGCAGCCGGAGAGCAGTGACCAGGCAGGTGGGAGGAAGGGGCTGGGGGCAGGAGGCAGGAGGCAGGCCTGTGCCAGGGCAGCAGGGACAGCCATCGGCTCTTCCCTCCTGGGCCGTGTGGCACTGGACCCCCACGCTCCTGAGCCCCTGACCTCCGTGCTCCAGTCCGGGCCTCACTGTGGTCTCACCTCCCTACCAGGCTCCACTTCTGCTGATCAAGACAGAGCTAAGCGAGATCGGGGTGTTGAAGGGGGTGGAGGAAGGGCTGGGTTTGGCACCAGGTGAGATAGGTGGGAACAGGTCTTATCCAACCCTAATTCCTGCTGGGCCTGAACGGACTGCACATGGTGTCCTGGGTGCACTTCAGGCCCACCTGCTGCTCCAGCCGCTGCGGTGGCTCAGGCTGTCTCGTCCTTGGCCCCTCCACCTCCCTCTCTGCTCCAGTGACCAGCTCATCCCGCAAACGTCCACGTCTACAGTAAACCTTTCCTACAGGTCTCGCCTTGTCACAACTTCTAAAACATTTATAGCTACGGGACCATTCCTCCTGAACTTCTTGACCTGTCCAATTTATTATACTGATAACTTCAATTCCCACAGCCCTTTGCCTCCATAAGTCGGCCATTATTTGTGTCAGACCATAGGTCCTGTTTTAAGGGTCAGAAAGCACGGCTGCCGTCCCGAGAGCCTCACCACAGTTGTCTCATGCAGTTCGTGGTTCCCTGCCATTGCTTTGCCCCTCAAGCCAGGCTCTACATTCCTGGCGAGTACACTACACATTTCACTTCATCTAATTATCTCACAACGCCTAGCACAGGGTCTAAATGAACACTGCTTGGTCCACTGATTGATTGATTGATTGATTATTGATCCCAAGCCACAATAAAATAGGATTCTCTTCTAGTGGCCATTTTCCCATTCTGATAACCAAGATCCCCCCCCCGCCGAATTTACCTGTACCCAACGGCTCCATCGTAGACAGAATCGTTCAGGTAAATGACGGAGCCTCCGGGAAGCACAAACTGCTGGCCGGCCGGAGCACTGTATGACACCAAGCCGTCTGCCGAGGGACACACAGAGGGTCAGTGCTGATGGGAGGAAGACCGACTCAGCTAGGGAGCCACCTGAGGCTCCAAGGCTGCCACTTGGGTGTGGGTCCACTAGGACCCAATCCAGGCACAGCAGCCAGCGAGGTGCCAGGAACATCCCTCCAGGGATGGGGACCACTCCCCGGCCGGGGGAACAGAGCTCCCGTCTTTCCTCTGACCAGGAGGGAATCTCTGCATCCAGGCATCACTCACCTGTCCGCCTGCATTTCCCGGGGCGGGCTTTGTGATAAGCCTGCTCTCTGAGACCCACCTAGCCAGACACAGCCGTAGAGCTCCACCCTCATGCACACGTTCATGGAGTGGTCGGTGACAGGGATGAAGCGGACGAATCTGGCCACGATGGGTGGTTCCAAATCCTTCAGGAAAATGTCATAGGGGTTACTGCTTCCATCCAGCACCTGAGGGGAGAGCAGAGGGGAGTGGAGCATGGCATGACTCTGTGGTGACCTTCCTCGCCCCAGCCCTCACCCGACAGACCCTCTTTGTAATTCAAGGAGCAGAAAGATCATAGGGCTCTCTCGGCAGCCTGGATGCTCCTTGTCTGCCCCCACCCTCCCCACGACGGGCCAGCATCCACAGGACAGGACAAGTCTGTGGACAAACACCCGCACAGACCACCTGTGTACTTCCACTTCAGCCCGAGTAGAAAGACCATGGGTCCTGGACACCCAGGGGCTGGCCATCCTCCTCCCACCTGTTTCCCGTGCCGGTTCCGCCAGGAGATCCAGCGAGTTCCGTCCCGACTGTAGTTGATCTTGTACATGGGGGCAAACTCAATGCCGTGGCCCCCGGCGTGGCGGCCCTGGGTCCCCACCAAAGTGATGAAGTGCAGGGTGTGCAAGTCAATCTGCAGAAACTCCTTCAGGTCGTCGGGCTCCACCGGAATCTCGGGACACCAGGCTCCATCCCCTTCTTCTGAGTCCAGCCTGAGACAGGAGGGTTGGGGAGACGGGGTCCATGAAACCCTGGACTTACCTCCCAATCCTCAGCTGCCCCATCCTGGAAGAGGGCAGCAGGGAGTCCAGTCCCCAGGTTCTCCCCAGCGGTCTGCCTGCCACTGCCATAACCGCAAGTGGTCAGGCCCCTCTTCCTGGGCACCAGGAACCGGAGGATAGTCACCACCAGGGAGCTAGAGGCCTCAGATCACAGGGAGCCTTATTTCCATCCTGATTTGGAGACCTCTGTGGAGGTGACATGCCGTGAAACCCTCCCCTGATGGTCTCTGCGCAACAATGCCAACCACAGCTTGCCTGGCTGTCACGCCACAGGTGTGGGGAGGGACGGAGCATAAGATCTCTGGTGTGGGCTGTGTAGCTGGCAGGACAGGCATGGCAGCCCAGCAAGGTGTCCCCACGGTGGGCGTGAGAGTGAGAGAGTGTCAGGGGGTGATTGCGCCCAGGCCAAGCTGCCAGGGAGCAGAACTGTGGAGTCGGTGTCAGGCTTGTCTGAGGACCCTCTGACCTCGCTCCCCCTCCCTGGCATGTGGCCCTGCTCACAGATGTCACCTACCCCTTGTTGTCCCTTTCCATCCCCACCCCTGCTCTCGTGGGTGATGCCAGTATAACCAAAATCCACACTTTACACCAAAATACTCAGCTCACAGGAGGAGCGTTTGGCCCCGACCAGCAGAGGCTTTAGACAAAGGAGTTTATTTCTCAGAGGTCCCCTGGTATCAGGGCACAAGGAACACGCCACACTCCCGTGGACAGGACGGCTCCTGGGCGTGTCCTTAAGAGATGATGAACTACCAGGGGGCCTCGCTGGCGGTCTGAGCGCTGACGCTCTGCACTGCGAGCGATGTTTCCCAGGGAAGGGAACCAGGAGAGGACCAGGCCTCTCAGCCCAGTGACCTACCTAACCTGCACCTCCCCACATCTGCCACCCAGCCCACTCCCCATAGCGAGACTGGAAGGCAAGTCGCCTGCAGCTCAGGGGGCCTCTGCTATGGCGTGGCCCTGGGCCTCCGTGGTCAGGATGCCACCAGACTGGCACCCATGCTGGGCCCTGAACTGTCTCCCTGCATCGCAGAGAGCAGGGCCGGCCCTGTGATGTCCTCCCCATGCCAATGATCTCCTGCCAAGCACCAGCCCTGTCCAGGAAAACTGTCCCACCCACAGCCTCCGCCCCGGGGACCCGCGCTCACCTTCCGTATCTGGCCGCTGTGGACTCTGACCACTGGCTGGAGGCCGTGATGTCCTCGTCTGGAATGTGGCCTCCCGACATGCCCAGGGGATAGCGGCACACAGCTGGACCAAGAGAAACCGAAGACAGGAAATCTTTATTCTATTTCCAGAGACCCCGGGGAAGAAGGTAGTTGGTTATTGGATGTGGAAAAAAGCGGACTTGAATCCCCCAAAGTCCCGCTACGACCCCGTTCGATCACCGTGACTCAGCCTTTCCTTCTGGGCTCTGCCCCGAAACTGACCGCAGTGCAGCCGTCCGAGCATCGACCCTCAGCCTCACTGCTTTCTGGCCCGAATGCTGAGGACTGCGGCGGCCAGCGCCTCGACTTTCCCTTTCCTTTGGTAAAAACCCCAGGGCCCACCCCCTCGTCAGCTGGCCTGAGGTTTCCCAACAGTGGTGGCAGGAGCTGATTTCATGAAACTATGGAGCGGATCCAGGCTCCCCCATGAAGGTGCTGAGCACACGGCTTTGGCCGCACCCGCACCAGGCTTGGGCCCCCAGCTAAATCAGGAACCTCAGGGGTGGGCCTCCCCTTCCCCTGAGGTTGAGAAACGGGCCCAGGTTTACTCTCCCGGGCGAAACAAACAAGAAAGGAATGGACAAAGTAGGCGAAAAACTGGGTTTCAGTATAATGACTGTCAGGCAACTGAGGGCGGCCACCCCTGCGGGACAGGGAAGAAAGGCAATGAGCCCCACCCTGGCTCCCGCTTCCTGCGGCGGCCCTGCCCGGCGCTCAGGATGGGGACTCGGGTGGGGGCTGGGGAACTTCCCGAGCCGAGGGGACAGCGAGACGGGCCTGCAGAGGACACGGGCACTAGAGCTCTGAGGAGTCGCTGGCCGGATACAACACAGCTACCCTTACATTTCAGATAAACAATAAATGCCGTTTTAGTAGAGAAATGTCCCATGCGATTTAAAAAAAGTCATGTAAAGAAGCAGGGAAATAGAACCTTTAATGAGAAAAAAAAATCAACCAATGGAAACTGATTCAGAGCTAATCTCGGAGTGAGGACTGGAGAAGAAAACCGGTGAAACCGTGACAAGGGCAGGGCCCGCGCTCCAACCGCAGGAGAACGTGGGCGAGATGGGTAACAAGTGAAATTTCTAGGAAAAAAACTTGAATGTGTGAGATAAAATACACCGGGTGGGATTAAAGGCAGGCTACACATTAAAGAGAAGACTTATGAATTTAAAATGCATCCGTAGGGCCCTGGCCGGTTTGGCTCAGCGGTTAGAACGTCGGTCTGTGGACTGAAGGGTCTGGGGTTCGACTCCGGCCGGGGGCGTGCACCTCGGCCCAGGTGCGCATGCGGGAGGCTGCCCATCGGTGTGTCCCTCACATCAGTGCCTCTCCCACTCTCTCTGAAAAGCAACGGGAAAAATATCCTCAGGTGAGGATTTAAAAAAAAATCAGTAGAAACGATCCCAAGTGAAGCAAGCAGAAAATCAATCAATCAAGCAGCCAATCGATCAATCGATCAAAAAAAATAGAACATCAGCAAGATGTGGAAAATGCCAGGCCTCCCGGTATCCACGCCAGTGGACCTCAAGGAGGGGGCCGGGGCCAGCCGACTGGAATACGGCGAAGGGGTTTGCAAGTGTGATGCAAGCTCTAAACCCAAGCAGCTCTGTGGCCCAAAGCACAAGAAACGAAGAAAACCGCACGACAGCATGTCACGTTCCAATGGCTTAAAAACAGGTGACAGAGAAAACTGTAAAGCAGCCAGAGAAAAGGGACACGTGGTCAACAGGACCAAAGACAAAGATGGCAGCAAACTCCCGTCCAAAGTGGTCATCACATGGTAAACACAGAAGACGGTTTTTCACGGCACTTACACCTCCTTAAGTGGCAACTGGCTACTTAAACAAAAATAATAAATTTGTGAGGTTTACAACATACACAAAAGTAAAATGCACAACAGCAAAGAGGCCCAACGAGCAAACAGAAGCCATGGTCCCCTGAGTGATGTGAGATGAAGACAGACAGAGGGACGAAGGTCACAAAGGGCGAGAGCAACAAGCCGGTGCTGCTGAGAGGAACTCAGAGGGACACGAATGGAGGAGCCGCGGGCGGAGCCTTGAGAGCGCAGTGTGGGAGCGCGTCCTTTCTACCCAGTCACTCTCTCCCAGCTGCGCGTTTTTACATAAACAAACCAAATGATTCGAAAATTCACAGGGCAGTGCGAAGATCCCAGAAGAGCCGAACCACCATGAAGAAGCAGGTCACAGAGGGACAAAGGACCCAGATGCTAAGTCATCAAAAGTTACAGACGCTAGAGGGGCCGCACGCAATGAGTCGGGGTTCCCTCGGGCTGGAGGGAAAGGTCGCAGGAAAGTGGCAAGCTGATGCTGGATGGTCTTTTGTCCCAGCTGGTCGCTAGAACCAGGACAAGCCTTGGCCCAGGGCACCAGCATGGCACTTGTCAGCAGCACCATGCAGTTTTTGTGCCTAACATGCCTATTTTTGGTAAACTCCTCTGTAGAAGGCGTCCCAGCCAAGAAGAAAGACTCAGAGCTGCCAAGTGGGCCCAGATCCTAAATGCCAGCCCCCCCATGCCCACCAGTCTGTCTGGCAGCCCATCAGGGCCCAGCCAGAGTGTGACAGGTGAGACAGGGAGGACGCGGGGCCTGCTGCTGAGTGGCAGCTTCTGGTTTTGCTGCTGGGCTGCGTTGGTGGTTGCCCAACTCTTCCGGTGCCCCATCTCCCGGACAGAGAAACCAACTCCCTCTTCCAGTTTCCCAGAGTGGAAAACTACCAGCGAGGCCAACCAGGCCCCCGGGAGCACCATCCACCCCTTGCTGTATCCAGTGGGTCCAGCAGGCGGGCCTGGGAGCAGCTGCCTGAGAACCATGGTCTCTGACGCTGCCAAGGTGGAGAGCCTCAAAGGGCTGCTTGTTCGTGCTGTTTACCATCTGGCTGGGAGCTCCAGGCCACGGCTCCTATATGAGCTTCCAGGAAAACACATGGCACATGTGATGCCTGGGGCAACACCCGGCTTCTCTGGGCACAGGGAGGACAAAGTGACTGGGGCGGGGGGGTTACCCAAGACCGTCTATGGTCTATAGCAGGCATGGGGAACCTTCTTTCTGCCAAGGGCCATTTGGATATTTATAACATCATTTGTGGGCCATATGAAATTATCAACTTAAAGCTTAACCTGCTCTAAGAGGAGCAGCAAAATTTAGCTAGGTTCATCCATATTACTGGAAACTTTTGCTCCTAGCATAGCAATTAACACTGATGTCTGTGGCTGCCAGAAATAATGAAGTTTTGGGTTTATGATGAGGAACTAAGAGTTATGCCCTATTTTATTTTTAAGGGTGAAAGATTTATAGTCGAGGAGTCTTGAACTGATGTGGCTCATTCATTCCAGAAATCTGGGAGTGACAGAATGTGAGTGAAGGCCAAAAACTGCCACTGTGCAGGCAGGAAAGGAGCCGTGAGAAGGAAGCTACCGACTGGGCAATTGTGTTAAAGATATGTAATACTTTCAACAATAAAGATAAATTCTAAAAAATTAGCCTGCTCTATTTGGTCAAACATTTAATTAACTCACCCCTAATGTGATGGCGGGAACTGCTTCTCTTTGGTGAGGCCTGTGATGTTAGCTGGTGTTGATGATGTTGCTGCTCGTAGCTGCTTTTCCAGTTCTGTGTTGGTCAACCTGGAGCGGTCAACTCTTTGCGATGGTGAGTTTTGAAAAGATCTGCTTGCAGCAGTAAGCTGTTCTGAACACAGATGCGTCTTGCAGTGCGTGTCTCCTCCAAGTGGGACACTCATCTCTGCTTATGTAACGCTTGTGGAGCCCAAGCAGCGGCGCCAGTGCCCCAGCTTTCAGCTTGCCACCGCTCTGCCCGGAATGATTTCGTGTTGCAGGTTATCAGGCCCATCGGCTGGGCCCACACTGATCCGGTGGCAAAGGTGTTCAGTTCCACTTGTTTCCTTTTCACGTCCCTGAGTCTTCTGTTAAATGCCTCAATTAGTTCCCCACATTCACCGGCATGTTCAAGTGTCAAGGGGGCTTTTGTCCTTCCAGAGCGGGAACTGCCCCGTGGTATTGCTTCCGGGTTGCACTTGCCGCAGCCTTAATTTAGCTTCAGATGATTTCACGGTTGGAAGCGGGGAGCTGAGAGGCGGGTTGGGGCGCTGCAGCTTGACGTTCAGCTCTGAGAGGTACTTGGTGACGTCCACCACGACGCTGGATCCCACAGCCACTTAGCGCCACTGAGTTCCCCGCAGGCTTCCCTTCATCTCCACGAGCTGCTTGGCTTCGTCCCGCAGCTCATGAAACCTCACGAGCACGTTCCTGCAACGCAGCCACCACCCCTCACGGTGATAAACAAGGTCACCGTTCTGAGTCAAGGTCATTCAGTAACTCCTTAAACTGGAGGCTGTTAAACCCTCTGCTTTTGAGAACATTTATGCACGACACTCCTGTTGACATCACATCGTTGAGCCAAAACGACTATGCACAGAGACTTTCTTGGTGTATGAGGCAGTGGCAGGTAATTACAGTCAAACCTCGGTTCTCAAGCCTCTCCCATGGCACACGATTTGGTTCTTGACCAAGTTGTTCACAGAAAAAAATGTCTCGACTGTCAACCAAAACTTCAGTTCTTGACCAGACAACCCTTTCACACTGATACCTCAGCATGACAAAAAGTGTCTCTCAGGCAACAAAGGACAGAATGCTTTTATTGCTGGAGAAATCCATGATTAGCACAATTTTAAAACATAAAGAGGCCATCAAGGTGCTGATGTTGCTGAGGGTGTGAGAGTGCTCACAAAACAACGACCACAGGCAACTGAGGAGGTAGAAAGACTTGACAATTGATCAGGATAAATGAAAAGCAGTTGGCTGGTGATATATGAAAAGTATTTTTTTACAGATTAAACAGTACATTAGACGTACTGTATATAAAAAAGGTTAAAACAGGGACTCATTTGGGGGTCTGCAAAAAATTAAGTTAATTTGCATTATTTCTAATGGGGGAAAAAATGATTTGGTTTTCGAACAAATCGCTTCTCAAACAGCCTTCAGAATGAATTAAGTTGGAGAAC